GCAGCAGCGTGGTCAGTTGCGACTTGCGTACGTGGCCTCTGAGGCCAACACTGCTGATGTGTTCACCAAGGCACTTGCGCCTTGTGACCATCAGCGCTTCTGCACCCAGCTGGGTCTTGTGCCTGTCTTGCCTCACTTGCTCTCCTCTTGACTTCACTTGTACTGTGACATATATATATATACCTGCTCTTGCTTGTCTAGCTTTATGTATATGTCTGTACTCTTGCTTGTGAACTGGCCTTTGGCCTCACTCTTGTGCTCGGACTGTGTGGTGACTTTGTGATCCACCCTGAGCTTTGCTTGTCTTGCTTGACTGGTCTTGTGACCCCTTGTTCTCCCCCACTTTGCCTATGGGGGTGTGTCAGAACATATCTATAGCTTATACTGCTGTGTAGGCTGTAGTGGGGTATCCCATAGGGGGTACAACCCAGTTAGGGTTTCATATTTGTACTGCTTTCATTCATAGTTCACTCATTCCTGTTTTCCTACTTTCACAAAAGGAGTGTGGAAAGGTGGATGTGAGGGAGCCACAGCAGGAAAGAGAGTTACGGAGAGATACGAAGGCTGGTAGGTGAATTCGATAGCTGCACGACGGCGGGGACTCACAGAAGCCATTCCTTGCAGGTACAAGGCGGAGTTAGAGCTCTGAAATCTCCCAAAATATGTGGATCTAAAAGGTTAGAACCTAGTGTTGTTCAAGTGGCCTAATCTAGTGGAATGACAAGAAAATGGTACTAAGTGCATCTCTACAAACATATGTAGGTATGCGCTGGTCAGTTTGGTAGGTATGCGCGCCTGTAGTGCAGGTAGCATGCACGACCGAAATGCATTCGGCAAATTACATAGATCCAAATGGTTAGAACCTAGTAGGGGGGTGGAGAATGGTATAGTTAAAAGGAAAAGCGGACAATATATGGCATTCACTGTATTTATATAGAGAAGATGATGCGAGGGTTGGTTTGGTCAGTATGCACGTTTGTGTGCAGGTACAAGGCGGAGCCACAGCTCTGAAATCTCCCAAATTATGTGGATCTAAAAGGTTAGAACCTAGTGTTGTTAAAGTAGATGGCTAATCTAGTGGACTGGCAAGAAAATGGTACAAGTTGCATCTCTACAAACATAGATAATGGGCGGGTTAGTTTGGTCGATATTGCGCGCCTGTAGTGCAGGAACCATGCACAACTAGAATACCAATATTTGGTGAATTACATAGATCCAAAAGGTTAGAGCCTAGCAAGGGGGTGGGGAATGGTATAATCCAAAGAAAAGGCGAAAAATGTATAGTGTTCACTGAATATGTACAGAGAATATGATGCGTGGGTCGGTTCGGTCAGTATGCACGCTTGTGTGCAGGTACACGGCAGATATGGAGCTCTGAAATCTCCCAAATTAGGTGGATCTAAAAGGTTAGAACCTAGTGTTGTTAAAGTAAGTGGCCTAATCAGGTGGACTACCAAGAAATGGCACTAAATGGATACAAACACAAGTAATGCGCTGGTCAGTTTGGTCGGTATGCGCGCCTGTAGTGCAGGTACCATGCACGACTAGAATGCCTATATTTGGCAAAATGCATAGATCCTAAAGCTTAGAACCTACCAGGGGGGTGAGGAATGGTATAAAAAAAGGAAAGGCGAAAAATATATGGTATTCATTGTATTTATACAGAGAAAATTATGCGTGGGTTGGTTCGGTCAGTATGCACGCTTGTGTGTGGGTACAAGGCGAAGTTGGAGCTCTGAAAGCTCTCAAATTATGTTGATCTAAAAGGTTAGAACCTAGTGTCAGAATGTTATCTTATGTTCTAGCCTGTAGTGGGGTGCTCTATAACGAGTACAGCCCTTCTAGGGTTGCTATTTGTATCCCCATTTCTGCTAGTTCAATCCTCTTCTTTCTTCTAATTTTGTCATGCTATCAGAGCAGGTCAATCCCCTTGGATCGATCCTGTGGGTGGGTTACCACCTCGCTTCCGCTGCTACTTTTCCTTCCCGCCGTGCGCCCCGAGGCGCGCGGCGGTTTTCTGCCCGCCGTGCGCCCCGAGGCGCGCGGCGGTTCTCTGCCCGCTGTGCGCCCCGAGGCGCGCGGTGGGCGTCTGCCCCGTCGTTCGTCGCGTCGCCTTCTGGAGGCGCCGGGACGGGCGACGGGGACCCGTCGCAGCCCCGCTGCCCTACCTTCGCGGCCACCCGCCGCCCTACCTTCGCGGCCACCCGCCGCCCTACCTTCGCGGCCACCCGCCGCCCTACCTTCGCGGCCACCCGCCGCCCTACCGTCGCGGCCACCCGCCGCCCTACCTTCGCGGCCACCCGCCGCCCTACCTTCGCGGCCACCCGCCGCCCTACCTTCGCGGCCACCCGCCGCCCTACCGTCGCGGCCACCCGCTGCCCTACCTTCGCGGCCACCCGCCGCCCTACCTTCGCGGCCCACCCGCCGCCTTACCTTCGCGGCCACCCGCCGCCCTACCTTTGCGGCCCACCCGCCGCCCTCACCATCGCGGCCCCGCCACCGACCTGTCGCGGCCCCGCCGCCCCACCATCGCGGCCACGCCACCGACCTGTCGCGGCCCCGCCGCCCCATCATCGCGGCCCCGCCCACCCCCCCCCCCCCCCTCCCCCCCTTTTCCCGTCGCCCGTGGCGGGTATGGGGGTGGCAGGTGTGCATTCCTCCCTTTGCTCCTCCTCCTCCTTCGTCTCCCACTGCTGCAGCTGTCGCTGAGGGGGGTGAATGTGTGGGAGACTGGGTTTAGGGTTTAAGGGGGGTGCGTGGGAGTGGAGCTAGCGGTGTAGCAGTGGGTGTGTATCAGGGGGGTGGGACTGTCTGCGGGAGGTTGAGTGGAGGCTGCCAGCTTGTTGTCCGCAGCACCTGTAGTCCGGGGCGTTATCCCGGTAGCCCAGTGAGCTTGTCGCTGCGCCAGTCGCCTGTGGGTCCGTTGCCCGTCTGCCGCTGCTTAAGCCGCGGGGCCTGTTGCTCCTGTAGTCCGGGCGCTTAGTCCGGTAGCCACTGTGCTCGCCACTCCTGTTGCCCGTGTGTCTGCAGCTTCAGCCGCCGCCTTCTATCTCCTCTCCTCTCACTCTCTCTCCTCCTCCTTACTTGCCCGTTGTGACTACCACTAGCTTTGCTCATAATTGTGCGCTCTAAACTATTTCTTCTTGAACTTGTGCTCAGAATGTGTGGTGACATTGTGATCCACCCTGAGCTTGTACTGCTTTGCCTGCTCTGCTGATTACACCCCACTTTGGCTATGGGGGTGTGTCAGAATGTTATCTTATGTTCTAGCCTGTAGTGGGGTGCTCTATAGCGAGTACAACCCTTCTAGGGTTTGCTATTTGTATCCCCATTTCTGCTAGTTCAATCCTCTTCTTTCTTCTAATTTTGTCACCTAGTGTTGTTAAATTAGATGGCCTAATTTAGCGGACTGGCAAGAAAATGGTACTAACTCCATCTCTACAAATATAAGTAATACGCTGGTCAGTTTGGTCGCTATGCGCGCCTGTAGTGCAGGTACCATGTACGACTTGAATGCCTATATTTGTCAAATTACATAGATCCAAAAGGTTAGAGCCTGGGAAGGGGGTGGAGAATGGTACAATTTAATGGAAATGCAAAAAAATACATGGTATTCACTGTATTTATATCGAGAAAATGATGCGTTGGTTGGTTCGGTCAGTATGCACGGTCGTGTGTAGGTACAAGGCGGAGCTGGATCCCTGAAATCTCCAAAATTATGTGGATCTAAAAGGCTGGAACCTAGTGTTGTTAAAGTAGATGGCCTAATCTACTGGACTGGCAAGAAATGACACTAATCGCATCTCTACAAAAATAAGTAATGCGCAGGTCACTTTGGTCGGTATGCGCGCCTGTAATGCAGGTACCATGCACGGCTGGAATGCTTATATTTAGCGAAATACATAGATCCAAAAGGTTAGAATCTAGCAGGGGGGTGGGGAATGGTATAAGTTAAAGGAAAATTTAAAAGCATTATATGGTAGTCACTGTATTTATACAAAGAAAATGATGCGTTAGTCGGTTCGGTCAGTATGCACGCTTGTGTGTGGGTGCAAGGCAGAGCCGGAGCTTTGAAATCTCCCAAATTATGTGGATCTAAAAGGTTAGAACCTGGTGTTGTTCAAGTAGATGGCCTAATCTAATGTACTGGTAAGAAAGTGGTATTAATTGCATCTCCTTAAACATAAGTCCGCTGGTCAGTTTGGCCAGTATGCGCGCTTGTGGTGCAAGTACCATGCACTGTCAAACTTATATGCTATAGTCTGTTTAGGCTGTAGTGGGGTAGTTCCTATAGGGTACAACAGTTTTAATTTTCCTACTTGTACCCACCCGTTTCCTACTACATACACACTTGTTCATTTTGACATGGTATTACAAGCCTAGGTTAGCCACCTAGGACCGCTTCCTACTATGGGCCCATCGTTCCGCTAGAAGCGCCCTTGTGCGCCTTGCCTTACTTGCGCCCTCGTGTGCCTCTCTCTGCTAGTGCGCCCTCGCGCGCCCCGTCCCTCGAACCGCGCGCGCGCAGCTTGCTAGATGCCCGCGCGCGGCTTACTAGGCGCCCGCGCGCAGCCCGCTAGCCACCCGCTAGCCGCACGCGCAGTCAGCGCCGCCCGCGCGCAGCGTGCACCGGCCTCGCGCGGCCCCTAGCGCAGCCCGCGAACTGCTCGTCGACCGGCCCTGCTAGCCGTCCCGCGCGCCGCCGCCTCGCGCTCGTAGGCCGCCGCCCGCACGTAGGCCGCCGCTCCCACGTAGGCCGCCGCCCGCACGTAGGCCGCCGCCTTGCACAGCCGCAAACCGCGCGCAGGCACGCCGTCACGCCGCCCTGCCTGCCCGAGCCGCGCCGCGCCGTCCTGCCCAAGTCGCGCCGCCCTGACCGAGCCGCGCTGCCCTACTGTGCCCCACCTGCAGCAACTGCTGCTCCTGTTCCTGCTGCTACTCCTGTTCTTGCTGCTCCTACTGTTCCTACTGCTACTACTGCTACTGCTAGTGCTGCCCCTATGGCTAGTCCCACCGTTCTCTCTTTTGATGCTGAGGGCCGTCCGATTCAGTTTGATGCTTGGCTCGATGAACTGCACCTGTTCCTACAGATCACTGCTAAGGACGACATCTCGCTGTATGATCAGGCGCCCGCAACCGCTCTAGCACATGCTGAGACTGCTAACAGTACAACTCATTCTCAGTGGCAGACTCGTGACGCTCACGCTCGCCTAGCCATTCGCAGCCACCTGCCGTTAGATGAGCGCGTGCATTTTGGCCAGCACAAGACGGCTAAGGGACTGTACGATGCTGTAGTCGCGCGCTACTCCTCACCCGCCTCTGCCACGATCGGCCGTCTCTCACTGCCCTATCTTTTCCCCGATCTGTCCGCCTTTCCCACCGTCGCTGACCTCATCACCCACCTCCGCACTAGTGACACTCGCTACCGTGCCGCCCTTCTTGCTGAATTTCTCACCAAGAACCCCCTGCCGATGTACCTCACTCTCTACCACCTTGTTACCCGTCTCCCTGACTCTCTTCGCGCAGTCAGGGACCACTTTCTCGCCCTCTGCCCTACTGAGCTTACCGTTGACCTGCTCGAGAAGCACCGCTTGCAGTTGAGGCTAGCATAGTCGCTGTAGGTGCCTCTCGCGGTGACCCTCGCACGCCCTTCTTCGAAGGGTGTTCCCCTTCCCCCCTTTTCCCCTCATTCGCCTCTGCTGCTGCCGCCGACTACCTTGGAGCTGAGGAAGTCGGGGCTGCGTCCGCTTCTAGTGGGAGGCACAAGGGCGGCAAGGGCAAGGGGGGCAAGGGTGGTGGGGGTGACGGCGGGGGAGGCGGTGGTGGAGGCCGTGGCGGCGGTGGGGGCGGTGGCGGTGGTGGGGGTGGTGGCGGGGCTGGGGGAGCCAGTGGCGGCGGCGGGGGTGGTGGCGGCAGTGATGGTGGAGGTGGCCGGGGTGGGGGCGGCGGTGGTGGCAGCAGTGGGCGTGGTGGCGGTGGCGGGGGTGGTGGTCGGGGTGGGCCGGCGCAGCGTGGAGGTTCCGGTGGTGTCCAGCGCCAGCAGCAGCGTCTCGGAGAGACCCCGTCGCCCCAGCAGCTTCGTGAGTGGTACTCTCAGCATGGGGGGTCTGGGGGTGGAGGTACCTGCCCGTATGTCATCCGCACAAGTGACCGCGCGGGTCAGACGTGTGGGAGGCCCCACACGCAGCAGCGCTGCTTCTCCCGTCTCGACGACGCCTGGCGTGCACAGTTCCATGACGCCTCCGAGCTGCCCCGCTGGGCTGATCTGCTTAAAAAGAACATTGATATCTTTGCTCTTGACTTTGTTGTTATCCTTGGTGCCATGTATGCATTGACTATTAGTGTTGAGGGTGACAGTTACCTGTGTGCCCCGCCCGACCCGGGCATTGAGACCAGTGAGGCTGCCGCTCTAGGTGCTAGTGCGTCTGCTGCCCCAGGTCCTAGTGAGGCTACTGCTCTAGGTGCTTGTGAGCCTGCTGCTTTAGGTGCTCGTGAGTCTACGCCTTCAGGTACTTCGTCTACTGAGGCACTGCACACCTTCACACTGGACTCTAGTGCTTCCCGGTGTTTCTTTCGCAACCGCACTGCCCTAGCACAGCTCCCTAGGCCTGTTGCTGTCTCCCAGGCTGACCCCTCCGGGGGTCCGGTCCTTGCAACCTCCACCACTGCACTCCCTTGTCCTGCTGTCCCATCCGGCACACTGTCAGGTCTTTACCTCCCCTCGTTCTCTACGAACTTGGTGGCGGGTTCCGCGCTCCAGGACGCGGGTGTTCACCAGTTCACCCCTGCCTATGAGCGTGTGACACACTGCACGTGTGCTCAGACGGGTCGTCACCTGACTACCTTCACTCGGCAGCCGGGGTCGGACCTGTACACACTGACCACTAAGTCCCCTCAGGTAGCTGCGTCTGCGTCTGCGTCAGGTCAGTTGTCCGCCCCCTGCTCGTGTCGCACCTTGTCGCACCGGATGGTCCTCTGGCACCACCGCCTTGGTCAACCTTCGATGCAGCGCCTTCGTAGCATGCACTCCCGTTACCTTGTCTCTGGTCTCCCCAGGTCACTGCCTCCCCTGCCACCGTCCCCTGCCCCTCCCTGCCTTCCATGTGTCGAGGGGCGGCAGCGCGCCGCCCCTCACTTCCCTGAGTTCCCCTCGACGGAGGCTCCTCTGCAGTTCCTTCACATGGACGTGTGGGGCCCAGCCCGCGTCCGTGGATAGGGCAGAGAGCGCTACTTTTTGCTGGTAGTTGACGACTACACGCGTTACACCACGGTCTTCCCCTTGCGCACCAAGGGTGAGGTCCCTGATGTCTTGATTCCTTGGATCCGCACTACCCGTCTCCAGCTGGAGAGGCGCTTTCGCACGGACCTTCCCGTCCTACGACTGCACTCTAATAGAGGTGGTGAGTTTTCCTCCAGCCTCTTGAGAGCCTTATGTCAGGGGGAGGGCATTGAGCAGACATTCACGCTTCCGGCCTCTCTGTAGCAGAATGGGGTTGCTGAGCGCCGCATTGGCTTGGTCATGGAGGTCGCTCGTACCTCCTTGATCCATGCGGCTGCCCCCCATTTTCTGTGGCCGTTTGCAGTCCGGTACGCCGCCCATCAGCTCAACCTCTGGCCCTGTGTCTCCGTTCCGGAGACCTCACCGACACTGCGTTGGACGGGAGAGGCTGGCGATGCGTCGGTGTTCCGGGTCTGGGGTTCTCATGCCTTGGTCCGCGATACGTCAGCGGGCAAGCTCTCCTCCCGCGCCGTTCCTTGTGTCTTCCTTGGCTTTGTCCCCGACGCGCCTGGCTGGCAGTTTTACCACCCCACCTCGCGCCGTGTCTTCCCCTCTCAGGACGTCACGTTTGACGAGTCGGTTCCCTTCTACCGTCTCTTCCCCTACCGCACTGCCCCGATCCCCCTCCGCCGCTCTTCCTCACGCCAGGTGCTGCTTTGGTAGACCCCCTACCTCCCCAGGGTCCTGCTCCCTCAGGTGTTTCCCAGGTAGACCCGGTCGAGCCTGTCAAGGTAGCTGTCGACTCTGGTCCTGCGCGAGGTATTGAGCCTGAGCGTGCTGAGCCTGGAGGTGTTGAGACTGGGGGTACTGAGACTGGGGGTGCTGAGACTGGGGGTGCTGAGCCTGGAGGTGCTGTGACTGGGGGTGCTGAGCCTGGGGGTGCTCTGACTGGGGGTACTGAGACTGGGGGTACTGAGCCTGGGGGTGCTGAGCCTGGAGGTGCTGTGACTGGGGGTGCTGAGCCTGGGGGTGCTGAGCGTGGGGGTGCTGCGTCTAACCGTGCTGCGTCTGGGGGCACTCTCTCTTCCCAGCAGCTGCGTGAGTGGTACTCTTGGTACTGCCACCGACGCCGTGGTGCTGTAGGAGCTAGGGGTACTACTGGAGCTGGAGTTGAGGGCGCTGGAGCTACTGGTGGTGGTGTGGCTGCCGACCCTGGGGTTGGCGCTGGAGGTGCTGGAGCCACTGGTCTTGGAGGTGCTCGTACTGGCGGTACTGGAGTTGCTGGGACTGGAGGTGCTGCTGGAGCTACTGGAGGTGCGGGTGCTACCGGAGCGGGAGCAACTAGAGGTGCTACTGGTGCTAGAGCTAGTGGTACTGCAGGGGCTGGAGCTGGAGGTGATGGCGCTGACGGTGCTGCTGGAGCTGGTGCTCCTGGGGGTACTAGAGTTGGCGCTGCTAGAGCTGGTGGTGCTGCAGGAGTTGGAGCTGACGCTGGGGGTGCTGGTACTGTCTCTGCTGGTTCTAGAAGCCCTGCACAGCCGCGGCCGTACTTTGTTCCGCTCCTTCAGCAGGTTCTTAGTCTCCCGCCTCCTGCTGGTCCTGCTCCTCCCTTAGAGTGTCTGCCGCCTGTCCTGTCACAGTTGCAGATACAGCCCGCCTCCCCACTGCGTGCTCCTTCTCCTTACACTGGTCCGACAGGAGGTCCCGCTTAGCGTCGTGAGCCTGCATCTTGTCCTGCGTCGCCCGTTCGCACTGCTCGCGCTAGTCGTCGTGTTCCGCGTCCGCGTCCTCCTCCTGTCCCCAGCACGCACCAGATGGCACTCTGTCCGTCCACTGCTCCACAGCGTGTCCCTCTACCGTCTCCTCCTGCGTCCTCTCCTCCTGCCCTTGCAGAGAGGGTCTGACTGACGGCCCGGACCCTGAGTCTGACTCTCTTTGTACTGCTAGTCCTACTATCACGCGTCTCCTGGCCACTGTTGTCACTGACCCTTCCTTTGAGTCCACTGTTGCGTCTGCCTTAGTTGCTGAGCTTGTCGACTTTGCTGCTCATTGTCGTCTACACTACGCCGCGAGTCTTGTTGCTGAGTCTGAGTCTGTCTGTCCTCCGTCTGTCGGGGGTGAGTGTGCTCTTGGCACGGACGTCCTTGAAGACAGGCAGGAGGACTTTGAGTGTTTTGCAGCCACTGTACCTCATCTCGTGTCCATGCTGATTGCACCTGAGGGGGACCCTGATGCACCAGACATCCCGACCCCGCGCTCTTACGCAAAGGCGATAGAGGGTCCCTACTCCTCTTAGTGGCTGTCAGCCATAGATGCAGAGATGGCATCCGGGAAGTCCATAGGCACCTACGTCGACAAGGTTCCCCCTCCTAGGGCGAACATCGTCAGTGGCATGTGGATTTTCAGGGTGAAGCAGCCGCCGGGTTCTCCGCTTGTCTTCAAGGCGCGTTACGTTGCTCGAGGCTTCAGTCAGCGACAGGGAGTTGACTTCTTCCAGACCTTCTCCCCGACCCCGAAGATGACCACTCTTTGGGTTCTCCTGCACGTCGCTGCTCAGTGTGACTACGAGCTCCACTCTCTTGACTTCAGCACAGCTTTCCTGCAGGGCAGCCTGCACGAGGAGATCTGGCTGCGCCGCCCACCTGGCTTCACTGGGTCGTTTCCTCCTGGTACCCAGTGGAGCCTCCGGCGGCCAATCTACGGTCTCCGCCAGGCGCCCCGCGAGTGGCACGACACACTGAGGACTTCGCTTGCGGCTCTTGGGTTTGCTCCTTCTACTGCTGACCCGTCGCTGTTTCTGCACACCGACACTTTGCTGCTACCGCTCTACATCCTCGTGTACGTCGACGACTTGGTCTTTGCCACTGTTGACACTGCTGGACTCACTCACGTTAAGTCCGAGCTGTAGAAGAGACACACGTGCACAGACCTGGGTGAACTGCGCAGCTATCTTGGCTTGCAGATCACCCGGGATAGAGCACGCCGCACCATTACCTTGACTTAGTCACACATGGTGCAGCAGGTCCTTCAGCGCTTCAACTTCACGTACTCCTCGCCTCAGGCCACTCCTCTGTCTACTGGCCACTCACTCTCAGCTCTGCCTTCGGATGAGTCCGTCGAGCCGAGTGGCCCGTACCTAGAGCTTGTTGGCTGCCTCATGTACCTGATGACCTGCACTCGACCTGACTTTGCATACCCTCTTAGCATCTTGGCATGCTATGTTGCTCCTAGGAGACACCGACCAGAGCACATGGCTGCAGCGAAGAGGGTGTTGCGCTACTTGTGCAGTACGTCGGGCATGGGGCTAGTGCGTGGAGGACGGGCTCGAGTTGTTCTCACTGGTCACGTAGACGCTTCTTGGGTTGAGGACTTGGCTACGCAGCGGTCGTCACAGGGTTGCACCTTCAGCCTTGGCTCCGGTTCTGTTCCGTGGCGGTCTACCCGCTCGTCTTCTGTTCTCAGCTCCAGCTGTGAGGCTGAGATCTACGCAGGGGCCATGGCTGCACAGGAGTTACGCTGGCTCACCTACCTGCTGACCGGCTTGGGAGAGGCGCCTCGTTCTCGTCGAGTTCTGTACGTCGACAACAAGGCCATGCTGGCCTTGTGTCAGGAGCACAGACTGGAGCATAGAACGAAGCACATTTCCCTTCGCTACTTTCTTGCTCGAGAGTTACAGTAGTGCGGTCAGCTTTGTCTTGCTTACGTGGCCTCTCGGGCCAACACTGCTAATATCTTCACCAAGGCACTTCCGCCTTGTGATCATCAGCGAATCTGTACTGCTCTAGGCCTTGTGCCTATCTTGCCTCACTTGCTCACTTCTTGACTTTGCTTGTAGTGTGATCTATATATCTATACCTGCATGCTCTCACTTGCTAGGTTTTGATCACTGTTTTATAACTCTGCATGTGAACTGGCCTTGTGGCCATCTGCTTGTGCTCAGAATGCGTGGTGACGTTGTGATCCACCGTGGGCTTGCTTTGCTTTTCTTGACTAGTCTTGTGACCCCTTGCTCTCCCCCACTTTGCCTATGGGGGTGTGTCAAACTTGTATGCTATAGTCTGTTTAGGCTGTAGTGGGGTAGTTCCTATAGGGTATAACAGTTTTAGGTTTTCCTGCTTGTACCCACCCCTTTCCTACTGCATACACACTTTTTCATTTTGACATGCACGACTGGAATGCATAATTTTTGCGAAATATATAGATTCAAAATGTTAGAACATGGTAGGGGGGTGAGGAATGGTATAATTTTATGGAAAAGCGAAAAACAATATATGATATTAACTGTATTTATACATGGAAAATGATGTGTGGGTCGGTTCGGTCAGTATGCACGCTTGTGTGCAGGTACAAGGCGGAGTTGGAGCTCTGAAATCTTCCAAATTATGTGGATCTAAAGGGTTAGAACCTAGTGTTGTTCAAATAGATGGCCTAATCTAGTGAACTGCCAAGAAATTGGTACTAATTGCATCCCTACAAACTTAAGTAATACGCTGGTCAGTTTGGTCGGTATGCGCGCATGTAGTGTAAGTACCATGCACGACTGGAATGCATATTTTTGGCAAAATACATAGATCCAAAAGGTTAGAACGTGTCAGGGGGGTGGGGAATGGCATAATCTAGAGGAAAAGAGAAAAACAATATATGATATCAACTGTATTTATACGGAGAAAATGATGTGTGGGTCAGTTCGGTCAATATGCACGCTTGTGTGCAGGTACAAGGCAGAGCTGGAGCTATGAAATCTCCCAAATTATGTGGATCTAAAAGGTTAGAACCTAATGTTGTTCAAGTAGATGGCCTAATCTAGTGGACTAGCAAGAAAATGGTACTAGCTGCATCTCTACATACATGAGTAATGCGATGGTCAGTTTGGTCGATATGGGCGCCTGTAGTGCAAGTACCATGCACGAATGGAATGCCTATATTTGACGAATTACATAGATCCAAAAGGTTAGAACCTGGTTGGAGGGTGGGGAATGGTATAATCTAAAGTAAGGGGAAAAAATATACGGTATTCACTGTATTTATACAGAGAAAATTATGCGTTGGTCGGTTCGGTCGGTATGCTCGCTTGTGTGCAGGTACAAGGCGGAGTTGGAGCTCTAAAATCTTCCAATTTTTTGGATCTAAAGGGTTAGAACCTAGAGTTGTTCAAATAGATGGCCTAATCTAGTGAAGCGGCAAGAAACTGGTACTAATTGCATCTCTAAAAACATAAATATTGCGCTGGTCAGTTTGGTCGGTATGCGCGCCTGTAGTGCAAGTACTATGCACGATTGGAGTGCCTATATTTGGCGAAATGCATAGATCCAAAAGGTTAGAGCCTGCCAGGGGGGTGGGGAATGGTGATATAAAAAAGGAAAACCGAAATAGATATGATATACTGTATTCATAAAGAGAAGATTATGCGTGTGTTGGTTCGATCTGTATGCACGCTTGTCTGCAGGTACACGGCGGAGCTGGAGCTTTGAAAGCTCCCAAAATATGTGGATTTAAAAGGTTAGAACATAGCGTTGTCAAATAAGATGGCCTAATCTAGTGGACTGCAAGAAAATGGTACTAACTACATCTCTACAAACATGAAAAATACGCTGGTAAGTTTGATCGATATGCGAGCCGGTAGTGCAGGTACCATGCACGACTGGTCAAATATGGTCCTATTACAAAGCTAGCAAGGGTGTGGGAGGGTTGCAAGCATCATCATTCATTGGTGCTCACGAATG